CCTTCCTATGGCAGAGTTCTCTCTCTCTCTCTCTCTCTCTCTCTCTCTCTCTCTCTCTCTCTCTCTGTATTTTCATATAATATGCATTCATTACCCTTCCTAGCAATGGCCATTTTAAAACTTCCAGTGTCTCCGGGCATCCAAGTTAAACAGAGAGATCTAAACATTCCAATGTAGGACTAACATTTGAGAGTGAAATCTGTTTTTCCTGACCTCACTCAATATAATACATTCCAATACTATCAATATTATTACAAATTTCATTTCCTGTACTGCTGCGGGAGCTCCTTCCACTCCTTCAATCAATAGCCTTTAAGATACCAGCGCCCTTTGGTGTGGTCATTGCTTTTTAAAGCAGGAGGTGTGGTCTCTCTCCCTTGCTTCAGACTCTGCTTCTGGCTACTAGACCCCTTTTGCTGGTCATGCAGAGGGCTGTTGCCTAGGACAGTGATCTGTAAGTTTTTTCCTTTAAATAAATAACCCTTTTATTAATCATAATTCCAAACTGGTGTGGGATTGTTTTGTGACATACCTTCATCTGGCGCCCAACATTTGGTTTTAGAACCCCAACACCACCTCCCCCAACCCCCAGTTCAGTTGCCTGCCTCCAGCTTGGCTTGACGGGAGCCCTACTTCAGCTGCAGCCTGTGCATACAGCCAGTTGTTCAATATAGAATCTAGCGCAGTGACTTTTATTGCCACAGTTGTTTCCGATGTGGATTTAAACTCCACACCTCTTGGGATCCACAGGCACAGACAGTCTCTGCCTGCCTGGTTTGAGCAGTTTTTAGATCCCCCTTGCAGCGCTTAGGCAGCGCAAGTCAGAGCACAAGCGGTTGCAGAGCGCTGAAAATCCTCTGGGGCAATTCTTTGTAAAAACTCCCTGTGCAACGGTGTCACGACAAATCCTGTGGTAAAATTTGCCCTGATATTTGTTGAAAAACTGGGGGAAAATGAGTCACTGGAAAGGTTAGATGTAGTACACAGAGAACAAAAACCCAGGGAGCTTCCAGCAGCTGATAAACAGCAGATCTCTCCCTGTTTGCCCACCGAGCTGCTCCTGGAGGCTCAAATAGAAGCACTGTTTAAAATCCCTGCCACAACAGAGCGGAGGGCTGCCACAGCAGCGTTTGCAGCATGATCCTTTGTCCCAGAGGATGCAGGATAGAGACGCTGAGTGCGAGTCTGACGCTCTCGCCGCAGCTGTGTCACAACGCTGAGAGGGATCCTTGGAAGCTGGACTTTTAACATTCCCATTAATAGCCTCCTTTTCTCTTAAGAAAGAGATTGACTATTACCATAAACCATTTATAATCAACCCCCTTTAAATGAAAACAAACAGTCATAAACAATATTTTGAGAATTTTGGTGTAATTTTCTATACTACACCTCTTGATTAGGTGTGCTGGTAATCTTATGGGGATCCTGAAAATATGTAGAATTAAGGTCAAGTCCTGAATGGGGTATTTTGTATGGTTTATTCATCTCAACCAGTAGCCCTGTAGCTATTTTGAATATTGGATCACCTGGGCCATTGTTCCCATTGGAGATCTTACAGAGGTTCTTGCTAGTTCAAACCATATTAACCTGGAAAGAATCCATAGCTTCTCATCTTCCGTGGACAGAACAAACCAAACTTCTTTTCCAAAGCAACATATACTTAGATTTAAACTTTGAAGTCAAGATACTTTGAAATCATACATGTTGGTTTAACTTAATAGCCCCCATAATCAAATGTCTCTCAGCACTTAGCTCATTAACAAACATTCAAAGAAAATGCAATAATATACATAATCCAGACTCTCCATGTATTTTCATTTTCATATGGCTTATTATAATATTTATTATTTTATTCCTTTTTCAAAAACTTCATTTACTATCTTTATATTATTCTTTAATCTATGACTGTCTCCTGTTTCCTCTCTCTCTCTCTCTCTCTCTCTCTCTCTCTCTCTCAATCCTATGCACATATTTAAACATACAGGAACCTGATTAGAGGTTTCTTTATGTCTGAATCTGTCTTCATCGTATGTATCTGTAATTCTTTTCTGACCACTGATTTAAACTGCAAATCAGGCATGGCTGGGACCAATGTGGCAGTTTTGGCTGCAGGCTCCACCTACTTAGGCTTTCCAACATGGTGGAGGTATCAACAGATATCTCATGCCTCCTTCCCATAGGCAGCAGCTAGAAGTCTTTTTACAGAGACCCATGTAAGAGTCTACAGAAACTCACCATGCAATCTGCAGCTGTGCTCTCAATCCCACAGGCAGTGGCTGGGAGGAGCCTCTTTATACAACAGCCATGAAAGACCTCAGGAGTCTGCCATGCTGCAGACAGGGCCTATGTTTCTCTACCATGGCCTGCAATGAGAGGCATGAACTATGATTCTGATTTCGGCTCCAGTATGGAGTGACTAGAAACCCTTTTATTGCTACAAGCTACAGCATTATTCAGTAATCAATTAGCGTCATTTCACAAGGTCAGCACAAAGCCAAGGACATTATATGGAGACTTAGGCCAAGTTACAAGATGTATTGGAATTATTGCCTTGTGAATAAAGTGACTATTACTTGCTGTAAATTTTCACTGTAGCTTGCTCCCATCTGTTACAAATTTTGGATTTATTTTCTCAGGCTGGAAATCCATGGCATCTGACACTCTGCCCTTTTCTCGGCATTCAGTTCTGTCTACTCCACCTAAGTCCTGTCCTATCCAGTAGACCAAGGCCGTTTCTTTATTCAACCAATGACAGCAACACATAAACGGAAGGACCTCCTACACCAGAGATGGTTTTGGATTACCACACCGTAGTGAGGAAAGATTTTCTGTAAATGTGTGTGTGTGTGTGTGTGTGTGTGTGTGTGTGTGTGTGTGTGACTGAGATGTTGTTACATTTTTGAGAACTGGGGACATATCTGTGGACATACAGTGGTTTAAAATGCGTTCACTTCCAACAAATTCAAAGGCTGCCATATTGAAGCCAGGTTGACCTTTCACATAGGCTTTCTCTATGCTTTTGGAAACATCCAATACCAGCACACTGCCTTTAGGAAGCATCCATCATCAGCACAAGACCCTCTTGTAGATTTGGGACTGTAGAATGTTCTTGGTTCATGAAGGTTTTGCTTTGTAAAAAGTGGCTAAAACAGACCCTGGAAGTCCTACCTTCCTTTTGTCTTAGGAACTAAACTTGAGGTAGGAGTCCCTCTGCTCTGTTTTCTCACTTACCAGCTCTCTCCTCCTTGAAGTGTTTGTTTCAACCACCATACATATCCATTCTCCTTCATCACATTGTCCTCAACAAGGCCACTATTCCTTCATTTCTCTCCTTGGTGGTTGACTTTAGACTTGTTTCCCCTGTCTTCCCATAGCTATTATTGTCATTTACAGGGACTTCAACACCCACCTGATTGACCAACCCTGCACACAGCCCTCTCAGCTCTTGTAGTTCCACTCTTCCTAAACAATTTCAGGCACCAAACTGAAATCCCAAAAAATGCACAATATCTGATATTTGTTGTTATACATGTTTTTGTTATTGATGTTCCACAGCTGGCAATGTATTTGGTCAGACATGTTTTTCTGAATGCTCCTGTGTCTGCAACTCATTTGCATGAAGGGAAGTAGTTCTGAAAACGTTCATTGCTAGCCACCTTAAATAGCATCAAGATCCTTCCTCCACACAATTCATTCTTGACATTTTATGAGGAATTAAGAAAGAGGAAGAAAGCTTCTCTAAAATTCCAGAAGTCATGGGGATATTTACAACAGAATTGTGAAATAAATATAAGGATTTTAAAACAAGACCTTATTGTTTCAAAATATCTTTGGACATGATGGGGCTATGACAGTAGCTATAGTTGCTGGTAGAAGATATGCTCACTGTCAAGCTGGTCGTCACTCCAGCAGGGAGTGGCGATGAGCTTAAGGGACCCAGTTCTAGCTGAGGAAAACTTAGTGGTAGATAGCTGGCAACTGGAAGAGCCAGAGTGCGCTTTCTACAGATGTGTGGCTCATGATGAGTTGCCTGTGCTGCAACAGATGGTATTCTATAGACATAAACATGAGGCCTTCAATTACATTCGGAAGTAAAGATGAGGAAGAAGAAGAAGAGCATGAAGAGAAAAAGAAGATGTGAAATTAGGAGCAGAATTTGAGTGTGTCAGAGAACTTGGAGAGGAAATAGATATATTTGAAATATATTGTATATATGTAATAGTAAGGGTCCTTGAGTATCATCACTCTTATGGCCCATTGTCAATGTCAGTCTTTAAAATTTGTTTAAACTATGATATGTAATGACATTACTGGTGACCTTTGGGGCCAGAAAAGGATGTCAGATCCTCTGGAGCTGGAGTCACAGGATTTGTGAACCACCCCAGGTGGATGTTGTGAACTGAGCTTCTCTATAAGAACAATGTGAATTATTCTTGATCACTGAGCCATCTCTGAGCTGTGCACCTTTTATATTTTACACTGTGATGACTCTTTACTTGCAATTCCTCTATTACTGTGCAAATAAATATAATAGAAAAATGGCATGCATAAATTGTAATGATTGCCTATGTTTCCATTGTGTTACATAAGATTTATTATTTAAATTACTATTTTAAAGTCACAAAGGAAAAAAAAACAGCATTAAGATGCAAATGTTATGCTTCCTGGAACTGAGGTTCTCATCATAGTTGCCTTCGAAAAGCTTCTCCTATTTCAGGATAGTGAAATTTCACCATGTAATAGAAAATTTTAAATTATTTTCACTATTTTAAAATGTAAATTTGTCATGTTTTCCCAGCATTCTTCAAGAAACATATGAGACTGAGTACATAAGGAAACACATGTGTCCCTTCAATTTTTGATTCTAACTTGTTCTCCCTAGTGGAAGCCAAAGGATCACAGGTTACATTAATTTTCTGGAAGGCTTGATCCATGCTACTGTGCATGTGAATGAAATAGAACCACTTTTAAAATAAATCACACTGTTATGTAGAGTTTTCACTTTATTTAATAAGAAATCTTTATGATCAACTTATGTTAGTATACAGGAAGCTTGACTGACACTTGTTTCTAGACTATACAGTAGTCCAGGATCAGAACATATTACAATTTGTTACCAATCTTTCTCAATGATGCTTAAGTAGTTTCCAGATTTACCACCAATGATATCAATACCTTTTGTTCTTACTGTGACAAAATGGTTCAAGCAAAGCAACTTAAGAAAGACAGGGTTCCAGATGGCACACTTAACATGGCGGAGAAGGCATACAGTCAGAAGCAGAGGCTGGCTGATCACATGACATCCAGTCAGGAAGTAACAAGTGGTACATGTTAGTGCCCAGCTTGATTTCACCTATTAACTGAGTCCCCAGGCCACAGGAATGGTGGTGCCCGCACTTGGGATGGGTTTTCTACCATAGTGACCAGAGATGATTCCCTATATGGTATATATATATGGTATATATATATGGTCCTCACGGGGTATAGAAGAGCTTGTGTCCTGGGTGATTCTATATCCAGTCAAGCTGACCAACAGTAACTGTGACAGTGTATAATGAGTAATCATAGCTTCCACAGGAATGGTTTAAACATCTGTGCCCTGAAGAAAGCCTTGTCTGTGCAGACAAGTACATGTTCTATCTAATGTGCGGCAGGCATACATGTACTCTAATTAGCACTTTTAATGCTGAAATTTGCTGAATGAAAATGAAAACATGAAGCTTCATAAAAAGGCAGAGTATATATTCATGGTCTATCACTTAATCAAAATAAGAGTGAATCCTATTTAAATGCTGAAATAATTTTTTTTACAGCCATCACAGGCAGTAAAACAGGGGCTGCAATTCCTGTAGCAAATTCTTTTAGAAGATGACCTATAAAGGAAACACTGTTTTCTTTCATGTCATTTACAGTAGATGTCAGTCGCTGAATTTCTCCTTTCATTTCCTCAGATTTCTCCCTAAATCCTTCTTCAAGCAAAGCCCTTTGATGCTAAAAACGGTGAACATGAGAGAGAAGACAATATTGTAAAATCCCAACATTGTACAAGTTATAGTTTCAAACATTTGGCGAGTGGTCCTTAGTATAGCCCGAAATTACTTCCCTTTCCATGAAGAAGGTTCTCTGAGTTAATCCTACACACTGTGCGGAAGAATAGTGGAAATTTCCCTAGGATTGATCCACTATGTCTGGTTGGTTGTAATGCTGGCAGAGGTGTGAACACATTACCGCACTCATGCCCACTGAAAAGCACTAGTCAGATTGTGTGGAGCCCAATCCACTGAGACAGTGTGGCAACCACGTCATACAGACAGTGGCAGCCAATCAGTTCTTTTAGAAATCTGTTACCATTTTGCTTGTAGTTGGGCAATGAGACAATCACTCTTCTGCCATGTGCTGCTTCAAGCAGGCTGTGTACTCTGAAGACAGCAACAGGAGCTGCAGAAGCTGCCAATTATCTGTTCTTTGCAGTCTGGATATTTCTTTCAGTTTTATGTCAGCATAGATCATTCTCAGAGTGGGAGGGTGGGTGTCAGGTGCCTGATAATATAGGCCTTGATAACCCAGGCCCATTGCTGTCCTTATTAAGCTACCTGGATGGGAGTTTGTTTGGTGAGTACCAATGAGGTTGTTTTTAAATATCCTGAACTGATGTATCAAACTATTGAAGTCATTCAAACCCTAAAGGAGCAACTGAAAGCCTGAGGGAATGCCCCTTAAGGAACAATACCTTAGAGAGGTGCTTCCACTCATGAGCAGGCTACATAATTTCTCCTGCTACCCAGGGTATGACAAGCACCAGGGGGATAAGGAGTCTTACCTGCAGCTGATTCTCGAGCATTATTTTATGTTCCTTGATGAGTTGTTCACGCTCTTGCATCAGCTTCATTTTCAGCTGCTCAAGGTTTTCCTTGTGACTTCTTTCTTGAGCCTCTATCAGTTGCTGCTGCTCCTCCTGTTTCTGTCTTAGCAGTTCCTGTTCCTTCTCAGCTGCCTCCCTCTGGGCCCGCTCCTCTGCCCCAGTAAGATTCATGGAGGGAAGAAAGTGATGGAAGAATGAGGATGGATGGTGGGGGACAGAAATGATGGGTTAAGCAAAATGTCTATATTCCAAAACCCAGAGAAAAATTCAGATCTGAAAGGAAACCACAGACTCCACATTGATCCACACAATGGAGAGAATGTTTCTAAAGGGGATGAAGAGACCCTGCCCATCTGGCTAAAACACAGACTGACTTCCTGTTGCTTGCAGCGTGAGCTTCCACAGAAGGGTAGAGAGCTTTTAATCTGGGAATGGGTTACCCTGGCCTCTATCAGGAAGCCTTGTAGGAACCTAACCCCTGCTGAAAGCCAAGAGACAATCTCCTATACCTGCGATGGTCTTCTCGCCAGCAGTTAGGGCTGTATCTGCCTGCAGGATGGAACTCTCAATGGTGGCTTGTGACTGCAGAAAGCTCTGGAAGACTTCACTTGCCTGCAAGACCAAGAAGGAGCAGAGACTTTGAGGCATCCTGGGAGAGAACCTGTGTGAGTTAACACAGTCAACACTGTTCCTCACTGTCAAATGCTATGGGGATGCCTGAAGACTGCCCTGCTCTTCAGTGGCAATAGATACTTCTGGGTTCATGGCTTCCCTGTCATCTCCACTAGGGCCACCTGCCACCACCTGTTCCCAGATCACTCCTGTCCACATCATGTGCAGATTTGGGCACTGTAACCTATGATGCTTTCAAATATTGTATCCCATGTAAAATGCTGCATAACTGTGTGGCCTTCACTTTTTCTGCTCTTGTTGACTGTATTCATGGTCAAGTCCCTCCATCTGCCTGGACTTCAAGGTACAAATGTGCAAACTCTCGCAGTAGTGGTGGGGCATCACCTAAAGCATTTTACACAACTAAAAAAAGAACTGAAAAAAAGAACACACCATGGTTTCACTGGCAACAACTGATTAATATGTTAGCTGTGTTCTTACATTTATTAGTAGCTCATAGGTACAGTATCCTGACAAACTTGAAACTTTGTGATTCAGAATTTTTATGTGAATATTTCTCAGAATTAATAGTAAATAGCATCAGTTTCAGTCAAACACAATTCTGGTGATGGGGCTTGAGGGTAAAGCACTTGCTTGCCCTGCAAAGCCATGTTTTGGTCACCAACACCAACATGAAGCTAGACATGCCATGCTGTCCTTGTGTTTTCTTTCTTTCTTTTTTTTTTTTTTTTTTTTTTTTTTTGGTTTTTTCGAGACAAGATTTCTCTGTGGTTTTGGAGCCTGTCCTGGAACTAGCTCTGTAGACCAGGCTGGTCTCGAACTCACAGAGATCCGCCTGCCTCTGCCTCCCGAGTGCTGGGATTACAGGCGTGCGCCACCACCGCCCAGCTCCTTGTGTTTTCTTATTGCACTTAGGAAGTACTGTATGCTTCTGTTTTATGACACTATCCTTCCTCTGCTATGAGCATCCATGCACCCTATACTCAACGTCTTCCCCATGCTCCCTACTCCTCACCCTGTTCCCTTTTCTATGTCTCTGCTCTTCATCTCTTTCCCATGCTCCCTGATATTGACCTTCATCCCTTTCCCATGCTTTCTACTCCTCCCCCTTTTCCCATGCTCCCTGCTCTTCACCTTCACCCCTTTCCGGGGCACCCGCCAATAGTCTTGCTCAATCTTCTCCCTCATTTCCATGTAGAGCCTGTGTCCTCCAGGAACAGAAAATGTTGAAATATTTTCCACAAAATCCTTTGAAAGCCGATTCAATTCTTCCTGGCAGTATTGATCTGATGCTTCTTCATTCTTCAACATGAACATCTTTTTCTTCTCATCTATTAATTCCTACAAGAGAAATGAACAGAGATCTGACACATTGAAGGAATAGAACAGATAAAGTTCCAAGAAAGTTTGTAGAAGAGTCAGCCTATTTCTCACAAGAAAGTATTGTAGTGTAATAAGACCACAAGAGAATGTGAAGTCCTAATGCCTGAATTAAGATTCTACAAAATCTGTACAAGGCCACAGTAAAAGTTCCCGATGTTCCTAGTCCTCAGGACCTTTTATAAAATGATGGTTCTGCGTGCGACAACCTCTGGTTCCTATTGGGTCCCATCCTATAATTCTATCTTCCATGACACAAAGATATGACAAGGAGCAATAGAAGAACAGTGACCTGCAGTGGGACTCTAGTGAGACAAAACTGTTTCATAGGAACAGAAGAATAAAGCAAGTTCAGGGATGAGCTACAGGTGTTGTGTGAAGCATTGCAATCCACAGAAATTAACTGTGTGAAGGACTTGGGCCACTACATACTCATTATTCGGCTCATTAGAGATTTCTGTATATAAAGCACCTGAAGTTTGAGAAGGGGGCCTGAGTCTTTCACAACTGTGTTCCCTATGACCACACAGAGTGCTCATCTTTGAATGAATCACACACCCGGGGTCATGAAGGCACAGTAGCACCACAGCCTTGAAAGGTCAGAGTCATGAAAGATAATGATGCCAACATTACCAGCAGCTTCTTCTGGAATTGCTGGTTTTCATCCTTGAAGGAGTGCTCCAGGAAGACAGCAATGGCTTCCTTCTCACAGGTTGTGTGCACACCCAGCAGCTCCTGGAGCGTGTCTGTGGGGAGCCTCAGTTGCTGCCCCATCTGCTCACTGTAGTGCTCAGCTGCCTTCTGCACAGCTGCTGAGTTCTCACGCTGGGCCAGAGTTGTCACCGCATCATCCAGACAAGGCACAGCTCCACTGTTGATGGCATCCACGTAGGTCGTCACCAGAGTCCCCAGTCCTTCATGAACCAGGAGTTTTAGGGGATAAGTATGAAGTTATAAGTGTCTGTGATGCAGTTTTAAGACTATAGTTCTACTCTTTCAAAGCTATACATGCACACTCATAAACTCAAACAAACAATCTCCTACAAGACATTATATTTTTTTGGATTTTCCCTTTGTTTTTGTGGTTTTCTGGTTCCAGTTAACATTAATATCAATCTTCATGCAATAAATTCAATTATCTATAAAAAATGTAACGTTGCCTTTAAATCTTGAAATTCATTAAAATAGATAAACTAACATAAACTAAAAAGGAAAAACGTATCATTAAATCTTAAAAGAATGGATTTACATTGCTTAAACACTAGTACTTATGTTGGAAATATTTCAATTTCCAAATTACATTACACATTGTCATTCCAAAGAATAATTAGTATACAAATCACCCCCTCTGCAAATAAAATACATCAACTTGAGCAGTTTAAACACTGATTTTGTACTTGATTAGACAATTTTCACTTGTGATTTTATTATCAGTTGAGAATTTCATATAGGTGTGTTAGAGCTATAGATACCAGTGATGAAGTATGCATTTTTAAAGAAGGATTTGTAATCTACAGTTAATTATAAAACATATAGGTTTTTCAGAGTATGGACACAAGCATATTATCATTGTATAGATAAGTTTTTAAAATACACATATTAATTTCAACATATATTACTCTATATAAAAGTGTGTTTAAAAAAAAAACACTCACGATTCCCAGTGACCTTAATTCCCTCTCTGAGTGTCTTGATCTTTCCATGGGTGAAGATGTAAGAAACAAAAGCCCTTGTTTGTTCCAGGAACATAGGATCCAGTTGTTTTTCTGAGATAGTATCAAGCTTGCGTAACAGTGCTTTGTCACGCGTTGGTTGATCAAAAACAAAACATTTCCGCTTTGGGAAAAAATGTCTGATGCACTCCCTGGGCAGATTGGATGCTTGGATTCTGGGATTGTCACCTAGTGTTAAGGGAAACACAAAGCCATGAGAATAGACTTAGAACAGAGAGCAAATGATGGAAGCCCTTGTCTCTGTGAAGTGTTCTGCACTCTCAGGTCTCTACCATAAGCATGCAACACTCTTTACAGGTCAAAAGTATACCAAGTTTGTACTTGGCAGACGTCTGGTGAAATATTCAGGAGACACTTGACTCCACTGGAGGATCATATGGCTGATATCCACAGACCTGAACATGCCATCAAGCACATTTTATTTGTGTATCCTGTTGACTGAGCAACAAAACATCAAGTGTGATTTCTGATCCAATCACCCCTTTGTATAGAAGGAGCTATGGGACTCAAAAGAAGAGCCACAAAGGACTTTTTAAAAAGTAGTAAAAATAGCAGCATTAGCAGTTCTCAGAATGATGCCACAGTTAGCAAAGAAAAACTACATTGACACTAAAAGACTTCATTTGATGTCAATGCCAAGTATACACTCCTAGAAAATAGATGTTTCTCCCAACTGGGGAAGGATGGAAGATCTACGAAAATATGTAGGATACATAAGTCTAGAGATTTGATGAGAAACATCAAGACAGCATTTTATGAAACTCCTGACCTGAGAATTTTCTCCATTTTGCTCATGTGAACATTTGTGGTGTGTGTATTCATGTTTGCCTGTGACTGGGTTATATGTGTGAACAAAGAAAAAAAAGAAAGGGAAGGGAAGGAAACAAAAGGAAAGGAAAGAAAATCTGGGTGGTGGCTTACACATTCAAACCCAGTAAATGGAAGGAAAAGACAAAAGAAATTGTGAATTTCAGGCCAGCCCGGTTTGGGCTACATAATGAACACCAGGCCAACTAAGAGCCACATTTGATTCCTGGTTTAAAAAATAAACAATAATAATATATTATAGTGAAGAGACTCTGGCCAGCTTGAGTGTGGTGAGCATGGTTCTGGCAGGCTTTGCCTTTCCCCCAATCCCTCTGCCTTGCTAAAGTTCTTTAGGTTACATTTGTAGAACTACCTACCAAGTTCTATTCCTTATTACGCCATTTCATCCTCCTGAGACCAAATACCAAGGTCCAGCTTTGGAAGCATCTAAGTTCAACAACCAAAAGGTCCCTTGGCTCACCTAATTAACATGCCCAGTTAAAATTAAAGACCTCACCATTACATGAAACTTCCTCTTTTATTTTGTAAACTGCCCTTTGTCTAGGTGCCATTATTGTCTCCATTCTATTCAGAGGCAGTCCGTAGTACTCTGGAACAAATATCTGTGCCCCTCTCCCTTCTCCTCCTCTTATCACGCATCCTCTATCTCCTGTGTTTGTCTCATCCCCTGCCGTTTGTCTCTTCTTAGTGCTGAGAGCTTGGCCTTGGGGTGTCCTGGGCTGGATACTACTTTCCTTTTCATATCCAATTTTATGACTATGAGTACAGGTTTCACAGAATGCTTTCCTCAATACTATGTTTTTAATGTCCTGAGAAAGCAAAGACAGAAAAATAAAAACACTGAGCAGATCAGAATTGGTATTCTTCACTAGACTTCATGGACTTCAACACTTTGTAAAGTCACGTTATTCATGCTAATAACACACATGCAAATAGTTTACAAAGTATAATATAACTGATTCTGACACTGTAGAATGATGAATTATGATGACATAGACTAAAAAATTTACATTTGTAACTATACTTAGAGTATAGCTGTTTTGTGGACAACATAACCAATTCAACATTGAAACCCTCTGTTCCTGCAAGAGTAGAACAATGTATAACTCTGTGAAATGCATTTTGAGATTGGTTATGCATGAAACATTTATGAATAAGAATTATGTAGCCAGCTACTTCTTAAAGGAAGATAGGCACAAAACAGACAAGACAGATGTCTGGACTTCAAGAAGGTTAGATGCTTTAGACTCTAGATGCTAAAGTGCAAACTGTAAAGAACATGATTTGGAATAATCTGGTGGTGTTCCAGGTTCTACTTTTCTCAAAAGAAATCAAACTCCAGTTCCCAAGCATTACCAGCCAATGACCTATCAGCATTTCTACAGATTTCCATCCCACTGCAAATACAGAGGGACCCCCCTGAGGATGGGAGCAACTCAACAGATTCCAGCCCTTCCCGGTCCCCTACCCCAGCTCTCCCTCTACCTGGGATCAATTTCAGTGCGTGCTCCAGGTACTCGTCCTCCATGGCGCTCTTTCCACCTATCTGCAGCTCCAGCATGAAATCCCGAACAGCCCAGATGAAGTCTGGGAAGAAACTCACAAACTCTGTGGAATTCTTGATTCCATCAGGACTTGCAGAAGACTTTGCCCTGATCAGCTCAGTGAGTTCTGTGACATAACTGGAACTGGGTTAAGGAAAAGTGAATTCACATGCACATTCTCATGATTTTCTTATTAAAATAAATCACAATAAAGAGTTTTTGCTGCCCTGGGTGTCCTCTGCCCCACCAAAAGCCACACAGTGACAGGGCAGGTCAGTGCTGCCATATGCATTCCAGAACACTCAATGAAACATGGTCACTCAGGTCCTGCAAGGATACTGCAGCTGCTCCAGGGCCTGGTGGTTGATGGTACTGATGCTGTTGTAGACAAAGGTGCTGCTCAGAAGCACAGCCAGGGCAAAGATCCACGAGTCATTCTTAGGGTCTCCCTGGAAGACACATGAAGGCAGAGTGAGGAACCATTAATAAAAACTCAGAGAGAGAAGTTGGGGTTCAACCTGAAGACCTGAAAAGCAAAACAGACTGGCTCTTACTTTGACCTCAGTCGAAAAATGGTGATCCTGCTTCCAGGGATCTCAGAATGAGACTGTGCCAGAGAGCTGCCTCCTCTTTTTTTATAAGCCTCTCAAGGACTGGGATTAAATGTGTGCACCACTAGGATTAAAGATATGCACTCCCCAGGTTGTATGGAAAACTAGAGAGGCTACTGGGATTAAAGGCTTATGTTACTACTACCTAGTGTGTAAGGCTGACCAATGGGACTTTTGACTCTCAGATCTTCAAGTCAGCTTTATTTATTAAAATACAAACAAAGTGACACTACATTTCTCCTTTTTGTCTAAAATAAAAAAGAAGTATGTAACTAATATAAGAAAAATTATATACAATAACTAAAATATATACAGATGGTAAGTACATCAATGTCTAGTTCATTTGCATTTGACAAATTCAGAGAAAATATTTCACATCTATCCTACCTTCGAAAGTCCAAAGTCTTATACCTAATTTACTTTCTATCCTAACATGCTTTCTGCATCTAGGAAACTATAAATATAGTTATCTAATCTTCAACTGCCTCAGAGACTCAAGAAGGAAATAATATTAACAGAGTGAACAGGAAGTAAAAGCAAGTGACTTCCCAAAATGTGGGTAATGACAGAAACATCTGCTGCCTAGACAGTCACCCAAACTTCCTCTGCAATGTTATATCATCCATCTTTGAACTACAGGCCTAGTGTATCTGACAGACTTTTCTGTTAAGCAGGATAATTTGTGTCCTGCTTTGTCTAATTAGGACAGAATACTGTCAGCAGTTGAGGCAGGGGCATTTTCTTTCCCAGTGGCTTACTTTTGCCACAACGAAAGAAAAGTTCAAGTGGAATTTTGGAGGCCCATGATCTTCTCTAAAGTAGATTGGTGCTGCCAGGAGGAAACATGTCTCATTTTCATTAAAAAAAAAAAAGAATCTAAGTTATTAAAACATCTTAAATGCCATATTCTGTAGATCTCTGAAGTCTTTGATGATAATCTATCTATCTAAAATATATCTGTTTGACCTTGAAAATATGACTACAAGTTTGATTATACTAGGTGATTAACTACTAACCTACACTTTCTTCTTATCCTAAATAGCTGGTAATGATAATTTTCAAGGACTAGAAATTTTCCTTACATTGTTAAATAAATTACATAGGTACAATACCTTGAACAAAATTTGAAATGCCTGTACAGTATGCTTTAACAATATTAATTTTAAATTTGTATCAATATTCAACATTTCTATACAATATACAAAAGTTCAGTCAGATGTAATACATTTAAAGCTTGCAGCTGCTTTTTCAAGTAGATTCAATAATCTACCTTTTCATCTCATCATTTCTATATCCTCCCTCTTTCCAGAGTAGATTCAATAATCTTCCCTTTTATCCAATTCTATCTCTATCCCCCTACTTCTCCTTCTCATTTTTCTTTTTTTTAATTATTTATTTATTGGTTTTTTTGAGACAGGATTTCTCAATAGCTATGAAGTCGGTCCTGAAACTTGTTCTGTAGGCTAGGCTGATCTCAAACTCATAGAGATCTGCTGACTCTGCATCCCCTCCCAAGGGCTGGGATTAAAGGCATGCACCACGAAACCTGGCTTCTTTTTCTTTTCAAAACAAGATCATACCTATACCCTGTCTTTTTCTCCTTTTCGATACAATAGTCTTGAATCTAATTTCCTTTGTTTAGCTTTTTTCCTGACTGATGGAGGAAGGTCATTGGTAATAAACAAACTGCCTTGGCCCATTTTGATAGGCCATCCCTTAGGTGGGTGGAGTAGGCAGAACAGAATGCTGGGAGGAAGAGGAAGTGAGCTCAGACTCGATAGCTCTCCTCTCTGGGGCAGACGCCTCAGAAAGAGGATGTGCTCCCCTCTCCCTGGCAGACGCGATGAAGCAAGCCGCCAGGTCAGACATGCTGAATCTTTCCTGGTAAGACCGGTACTACACAGATGATTAGAGATGGGTTGATCGGGATATCAAAATTAGCCAGTAAGGGCTAGAGCTAATGAACAAAGCAGTGTTTAAAAAATACAGTGTCTGTGTAATTATTTCGGGGCATAAGCTAGCAGGCGGCCGGGGTGCTGGGGACGCAGCCCCGAAGCTCTTATTACAACACCTGACCATTATCCATAACAACTTGTAGCCAACACTTTAATCAATGACAAATATTCATAATCCATTTTGAAAATGTAGAAATAGTTTTCTAGACTACGTCCTGCAGATTAGGGGCACTGACAATCTCATGGGGACAAAAATAAAGTTGAGAATATGGTCAAGTCCAGACTAGAGTATTCTAGAGTCATCCACATGCAGAAAAGCAGAATTAGATCCCATGCACACTACACACAAGAGTCATCGGAAATAGATACAGGTAAGTGCTAGGATGTGTCCCTGGATAGGGCAGTCGCAGTGTGTGTGTGCGGCAAACAGAGCAGCACAGGGAAGGAACGGCTGCAGTTTTCTCAGCCAAGGCAGGGACTCAACCTGGAGTGATGAGTGGACAGAGAAAACACGCTACACATTTGCACCAGACTCAGATGCAGACACACACGAAAGAAACCCTGTGATATAAACATGCAGATGAACATGGCAAGCATCTAGGAGAGTGGAGTGTCCGGTTCTATGTCTAGAACTAAGAGGAGAATAAAAGGATGAATCAGCAAGCAAGAAGACACAGGGTGGAAAGGCTCTAACTGGGCAACCGCAACAGCTTATTTCAATCTCTGGAACCCATGAAGCAGGAAGGTGTTGTGACCTGTGCCTGCACACACACACACACACACACACACACACACACACACATCACGCATCTACATACACACACATACATGCATCTACATGCACCACATAACATCTTGCATACATCAAAAATCTTTTTAAATCACTCAGTTCCCTTATTTAAACAGCCAAATTTATCCTATTTAGTTATTGTGGGACAAACAGGCCTTCACTGAACCTGCAGAATCAGTTCTCCCCAGATTGCCCCGAGGACAGCTGACAAGTTTCACCATAAAAAATGTAAACTCAAGGGGTTGGACAGATGTCTCAGTGGTAAGAACACTCACTGCTCTTCCAGAGGACCGCAGTTTGGTTACGAATATACACATCAGATTGCTTCTAACTTTCTGTAACTCCAGCTCCAGGGAATCCAAAGCCTCCAAATACCTAGGATGTCTTTACTCACACGCACACATACCACAAGCAGACACACACACACTACACACAATAAAAATATAGCTCTCAAAAATGTAAACCCAATCCTTAACCCCATTTCCAAAATGTATCCTAGGTATCTCAGAAGACTAGTCAGCCATTGCTCACCAACTGAGATGGGATGATGTCATCCCCTATGGGAGCATCTATCCACCTAACTACTTCTAGTGTGATGTCATTCACCTTCTCATGGAAGCATCTGTTCACCCAACTGCTCTTACTGTGATGTCATCTACATTCCCATGGGAGCTTCTGTCCACCTAACTGCTCCTCCTGTGATGCCATCTACCTTCCCATGGAAGCATCCATCCACCTAATTGCTCCTAGTAGGGGTAGCACTGTGCCACCTGGTCCACCTTTCAGAAGGGAACATCTTGTTCATCTAGCTCTGTGCGAGCTGATGGGTAACAGCTCTCATATGCCAGCACTTAGAATGACAAGGCCTCCAGGAAAGACTTCCAGTGACGGGTAGGCACTAGAGATGAATACCCTCACCCTTTACCCAACACAGGCTAGCTCTAAAATCCCTGCCCTAGTTCTCCTTCTGGAGTTCAGATGTCAGAGGCTGCCCCGTAACTGCTCTTCTTCTCTCTGTTCTGCTTCTTTCCAGGTACTGGACTATATGAGAAACACACAGGTAGGATCCTCAATAAAACTAGGAAGGTTCATGAGAAAAAAAAAACCTTTATTTTCTTCCCTAATATCTAACTACTATACCTATTATCCAGGAATTTAACTACTAAACAAAATTTTATTGAATTGACTCAAGTCATTCACTCAAATGGCAAGAAATAAAAGCATGTATCACCTAATGTATTCATCTTATCACTGGGCAATGGTGGTGCAGGTCTTTAATACAGCACTTGGGAGCTATGAGCAGGAGAATCTGTCAGTTTGTGACCAGCCTGGTCTACAGAGCAAGTTCTAGGATAGGCGTCAAAGCTGCACAGAGAAACCCTGTCTCAAAAACAAAAGCAAAAACAAAAACTTGACCTTGTCTAAATGTGAAATCTAAATAAATCAGTATTTATCTCACCTACTGTAATTCAGTCTGTAGAACTATTAGATGTATTCATGAATAAGTTAGCTAGTTAGATAACAAGGGCTCATAACAGTCAGCATGGACCTCATCCTACCTTTTCTACGTCGCCCAGGCCCTCGGTGTCCAAGAGGACCAGGGTGTGGTTTGGCTTGGTGGGGTGTGGCACACACCACATCCAGATGCCCTTGGTTTCAGACTGCACAGTGGAGCCCAGAGGGAAGCCTGCAGGGAGAGATGAGGGATAAGGGTTGGTTTTTGAACGTCCTGCACAGGCAGCCTGGTGTGCTAAAAGTATCAGTGCCAGGAGGCCTCGTGCACTAAAACTTCAGTTCATGGAAGCCAGCACCATCTTAAGGAATTCTGAAAGTTTTGGGAGTTGAAGCCTAGATGGAGGATACGGAAGTCTTAACTCTTCCCAATCTCTGCTACCAGTCTTTTATGCAGCTGCCACTGTGGTTTCAATAGAGCCACAAGATCAAGAAGCCCAACCATTAGGAAGTGAAATCTATGAAACCATGTTGAGAAAAGTCCTTCCCCATTAAGTTCTTCTCTCTGGTGTTTCAGACTCAGCCATGAAAAGCAAAGAAGAGAACAATCCACACGAAAATCAGATGGAAGCAGTAGAATTGGCAGTGCTGTGAATCTCAGCAATCAAAATGGTGCTTCATCTGTCCTCAAAACTATACTAGTTTATAAGTCATCTATTTCAAGCTATAGTGGGCATTTAACAAGAGAATTAAGCCTCAGAGGACTCCAAATGGAAACAGAAGCATCCACGAAGGGGAGAATATGGAGCCTCTGGTGGCGGCAGTGAGGGTTTTGAGCCAGCCACACTTGTACACACCTGCCATCCCTAAAGGCAGGAGACAGAGGCAGGGGAATTGTCATTAGTTTGACAGCAGCTGGGACTACATAGATACAGTCAGGCCAAACAACAAGACAGTCAAAAAAACAGGTATTTTACATATTGTGGGAAATGGTATGGGTTCCATGTCACAGACACACAAGAAGAGAAAAACAGGAAAGTAGAAAAAAGAAATTGGTATAATAGTTTTTATATTCAAAGTTACTAAAGAAAAGCAGAAGAAATAAACAGGAATGTGCAACTATAGAATGATATAAAGTCCTTTAAAATGTTTTCAAAATTTTAATTACAAATGAACAGGTATTAAGATTTATTGATTTCATTTTATGACTATCAGAATTTTGACTGTACGTATGTGAGTGCACCATGCACATGCCCCAAGTGCATAAAGGCCAAATAAGGGCAGCAAATCCTCCAGAGCTGGAGTTACAAAGAATTTTGAGTTATCACATGGGTACTGGGTACCAAATCCTATCCTCTTCAAGAGCAGCCTAGATCATCTCTCCAGCCCTACACAATTTTTAAAGTCTTAGATATTCAAAGATATTTTTCCCTGGTGAAAATATTTTATTGAGAAAGAAAACCTGATGTATGAGACCAGAGACCAACACACAGAATCCCATTGCTTAGAGCATCAGAAAAGGCCCTGTCTTGAGCACTCCTGGGAGTTTCCCTGACGCAGGAACCGATTATTGGCGAACAGTAATTACTCATGCAGATTAGCTTGAGAGGGTAGATGTGTTGAAAGGATTTTGGCTTTTTTTTGTTCTAATTGGGAATCAGAATTAATATAATGGCACAAAGATAGTCAAACCTTTGGATAGTACCCAGCATGCCACTCACCGTGATTCTGTCCTGCCAGACGATTCATCAGGTAGGACTTCCCTGTTCGGTACAATCCAACAATAGCCACAACTACCACTGGCTGGGAAATGTTGTCCAGAATCTCGATGGCTGTTTGGTTCACAGACAGCTGGTCCTTGTGGTTCTCCACCAGACAAATGGGAGCCATCATTTGTGGTCTGGCCATAGCAACTTGCCAAGCTAAAAGAATCTGCAAGAAGAATACAAAGTCATTCTTTACCTCAGTGTTACTCAAGCCCAAGGTGAGTTAGGACTGATGACATTTGTACATTTCCTAAGGCAGCAAGCAGATACAGAGGACATTCTCTATCATTCTTCCACAGTTCTAAAGAAGATTTATGTAAGACATGGGCTGCCAGCATGAAGAAAGATTGACTTCAATGGAATAAAACCCAAACAATGACTATCTTCACAAAGTCCTACAATATGCTAAGCCTTGTAATGAATGCCTTACCTTGTGAACCCCACAATCTGTAAGTGCCTACACGTTACAGATTACTGTACCCTGCCAATAAGGTAGGTGAGTTTGCAAAGCCTTAAAGACCCAGCAAAATGGCAGAGCAGTGGTTTCTAAGTCCTTGCTCCCTCTGTGAATTTAAAATGGTTGAAAATGTATAGAAGCTTTGGAACACACCCATGAATCACGCACACACTGAGATGTCCAAATGAATAAACAGTGTGAATTACATGTGTGTTCACTTAACTTTTCACTCTTGACAACCCCCCTCCTGACATATTCTGACTGCAGGGAGCAAGGCAGACCTTAATTGTAATAAGCTAGCCTGGGCTAACCTGGTCTCAGTTTTACCTAACTTGGACTTCAAGAACAGATTATTTCTTGAATGTGATATCAAAATCTCAATGGGGTGAATATAGATAAAATCCATGTTACAAAATTAGGAATGTTCCTGCACCAAAGGATGAGCTCTGTACATTAAATACGCGGTACAAGATTAATATCTTAAACCTCTACAGTTACAACTCAGTTTTAAAATGGCCAGAACACTGGACTCTCGTTTCTCCAAAGCAGATTATGAATGGCCATGAGCACATGAGAAAACATTCAATATTGCTAATCACTCTGTACAAGACAACTCTAAAATTTTAAAGAATTTATTTAAAAAGATGCAGGGTACAAACTGGGAAGTACAAGAATGAAAGATAAAGTGTCTGTGTTCCCACAACAACATTTAGGTCACCTTTATTAGGAAAACGTAAGAGCAAAGTTAAGAAACTTTAGCTACAAGATTTCTGTCTTGTTGTTCTGGAGACTGGTGTAAAATCTATAGTCACGTAATCTCATGTGACTTGATTTCTTAGACTTTACTGAGGTTGAGTCTTGCTTCTGGGAAACATGCATACTTACTTGAAATCACTTGCTTGATTTTGCTTGTGTTTGCAGTTTACACAAGAATGAGGCTATCTTAAGACCTACTTGGTTTAGTTGCTCAACAATTTTTCAAACCCAGTCTGCATTATAATGTGGCTTTCAGAAACATTGAGGAACTGCCACCCAAAACCAGAATGTCACTTTGTACTCACCAGGACAGCTACCACACAAAACAAAAACAAATAAATGTGAATCAGAATTCAAATCACTTAGATATTTGTGCATTGCAGCTAAGAATAGAGAATGATGCTACGTCATGGAGAATAGTCTTGCTTCTTATAAAAATGAATAGTAACCTTTGAGCAAAGAACTTTGTTTTAGTTACATACAACACACAGATAAGGATTTGGACACATTTGAATACTAACGATCAGGTTAAAGTCAAAATGTGACTCTAACCCAATCTCTCATCAACAGACCATCCACAGATATGTAGATTCACCGAGTGTGATGGCCCACACGATAGAATATTATTCTTCCAAAGAAAAAATAAAATTCTAATGCACACTACCACACAGACGAGCCTGAGGATATTATGCTGAGGAAGGAGAATGTGCAGAATCATGAGCATTTAGATAACAGGTGATGTCACAGGTTCTCTTCAACTTTCTCCCATATATGTGAATAAAATCAATAGCATGACGAAGTGCATATAGCCCTTGTCAGTGACCTGAGCTGAAGTTGCCAGGGCAGGGGGGACTGGAGTGTCAGGCTACCACTTAGAATCTGTCTCTTGTCAAAAGAAAGAAACTGAGCTTCTTACACCTAAAGCCAGTCACACCCCTGCAGACCAGACAAAACATACCTGCCTTTCTGAATGTCCTTCTGTGGCCTCTTGGAAATGGAAATTAACTTCAGCTTCCAGAGTCAGTTGCTTCTTAATGGAAGAAAAAGTAAATATATCTGGTCCCCCTTCCCAGGTGCAAGAACAGTTCTCAGCTGCCTCTGTCTTGCCTTTGCTTTCCTGTCTCTGGCTTCCTATGCTGCTCTTCTTATAAGCCAACCCACCACACACACACACACACACACACACACACACACACACACACACACACAGGCACTGCAAAAAAATCACATGGTGCTGCAGAAATGAAACTGAAAGTAACGAACTTAAAGCCCTGTTAACTTAGCCAAGGTGCTGGAGGGCAGGAACTCAAAGCCCTGTTAACTTAGCCAAGGTGCTGGAGGGCAGGAACTCAAAGCCCTGTTAACTTAGCCAAGGTGCTGGAGGGCAGGAACTCAAAGCCCTGTTAACTTAGCCATGGTGCTGGAGGGCAGGAAGGCCAGGGGCTGACTCTGCTGACTGAGGGAAAGCAGTCCTCTTCATGTGAATAGCTTTTACATTTTCCTTCCCTTTAAATCGTTTTCAGCTTCCTTGTGACAGAAAAGTCACAGCAAACCTAAGGCTCCAACTAAGGAAAGTTACACAACCCAGGACAGCTGCAAACATGTTTCTCTCAGGGAAATTCCCCAGACTTCCTCAGTGAAGAGCTTGAATGTTTTTAATAAAGTCTTCTAAAAGGAAAGTCTTCATCTAAAAGCAGTTTTAAAAAGAAGCAATTAGAAAAGAATAGGGGAGATAGCTCAGTGGGGGAGTGCTCTAAAGGCTCCGACAGTGCCAACCTGGTGACCCAGCTCTGTCTCTGGAACCCATGCAAAGGTGGAAGAGAGAACTGATGCCACAATTTGTCCCCTAGCTCTACAAGGGCATCCTGGATGTAAACACACAATACTAAACACATTTTTTAAAAAGAAAATAAGTAAAACTCTAAAAAGTCATAAATTTCAAAATGACAATAATTAGAAACACCAAATCAGTAGTAAAGAAGCTCGAGATTTCCAAGGAAAAACAATATAAATGAAATTTATATGTCCACTCCACAAGTTATAAGTGTCTGCTTTAAAGCAAGACCTTCAGTGAACTGAGCATGTGAAACATGAAACAGTTTAAAATGCCATCGTCAACACAGCCAGATTTCCTTTCTAAGAGCTGACATCTTGGGAGTCGAGCTGCTGCCTGTGATGGTCCAGCTGCTCAGGCAAGCCTCCTCCAGGAGCATCCTTAAAGCAGACAGGGTGAGAGCAGCTGTGTGAAGAGCTCTAATGACAACCAAAGCAGACAGGGTTGAGGGACAGCAGCAGTGAAGCTAACCCAACCCTCTCCTGCCTTAAGCCATAAAACCTCCCAAGCACAGGTCAAACTCCAGGAAAGGCAGAAAAACAAAACCTGCTATCTGCCAGAATCTGTGTTATTCTTGAGGAAAAGGATTAGCTTTCCATCACCAGGCAATTCAAAAAACTGTAAAGACCTCCTGAATAGGGTATTTGTGTTTTGCAATGTCCCTTTGGAAGCTTCCTCAGGATGTCCAGAGGATATGGAAATCTCTTTGTTAGGTATAAACTGGAGAACATTAAAGCAGCTTTAAGGGAAAATAGTCAGGGGATGATTGAGCCCAGAATGTTCAGTCCTAAGGAGCTAACCTGACCCACATACAAGAAAGGTTAAATTCATTCTTAAGGTGCCTCTGATTCTTCATTTCAAAGAGCAGTGTGTACCCATATATCCATGCCAAGACAGCTGCAACAAATCCTAGTGACCAATAATGTATCTCAGATCACACACTGCATTGAACACAACGATACACAGTGTCACCCATAAAGGCTTACAGTGATGCAAGGGTTAAGGCAGAGTTGTGGAAGGGAAAACAGAGCTGATACACATGCAGCAGAGAGAGCTGTTCTGGAACAGGTTGGTCAGTAAATACTCAGTTGGTTCAAGGTACAGTGTCATTCAAGACAGATGATTCAGAAGGCAGATTGCTCCAAAGCACAGAGCTGACTCCAGGCATCCAGTGTCTGAACAAACAGGAGCTCCACTAAGACACTACAATTTGTGCTGCTCATGTAAACAGACATCTTTTTTTTCTCTAGCATATTTTGTAGATTTATTTTGAACAGTTCAGTTAAACACTAAAGTCCATTTTAATATTTATTTTTAGAAATGCTGTTTCTAATAGATTTTAGGCAGGGTGTATACAATACCACTGTGTTTGCTAATATATAATTATTTTATTAAAGTAGATATTTCTTTTTTTTATTTATTTATTTATTAAGGATTTCTGCCTCCTCCCCGCAACCGCTTCCCATTTCCCTCCCCCTCCCCCATCAAGTCCCCCTCCCTCATCTGCTCGAAGAGCAATCAGGGTTCCCTGACCTGTGGGAAGCCCAAGGACTGCCCACCTCTATCCAGGTCTCATAAGGTGAGCATCCAAACTGCCTAGGCTCCCCCAAAGCCAGTATGTGCAGTAGGATCAAAACCCACTGCGATTGTTCTTGAGTTCTCAGTATTCCTCATTGTCCGCTATGTTCAGCTATCCGGATTTATCCCATGTTTTTTCAGACCTAGGCCAGCTGGCCTTGGTGAGTTCCCGATAGAACATCCCCATTGTCTCAGTGTGTGGGTGCACCCCTCGTGGTCCTGAGTTCCTTGCTCGTGCTCCGTCTCCTTCTGCTCCTGATTTGGACCTTGAGATTTCTGTCCGGTGCTCCCATGTGGGTCTCTGTCTCTGTCTCCTTTCATCGCCTGATGAAGGTTAATATTCATAAGGATGCCCATGTGTTTTGCTTTTGGATTCACCTTCTTATTTAGCTTCTCTAGGAACATGAATTATAAGCTCAATGTCCTTTATTTATGGCTAGAAACCAAATATGAGTGAGTACATCCCATGTTCCTCTTTTTGGGTCTGGCTTACCTCACTCAGGATAGTGTTTTCTATTTCCATCCATTTGTATGCAAAATTCAAGAAATCCTTGTTTTTTACTGCTGAGTAATACTCTAATATGTATATATTCCATACTTTCTTCATCCATTCTTCCGTTGAAGGGCATCTAGGTTGTTTCCAGGTTCTAGCTATTACAAACAGTGCTGCCATGAACATAGTTGAACATATACTTTTGTTGTATGATAGGGCCTCTCTTGGGTATATTCCCAAGAGTGGTATTGCTGGATCCAGGGGTAAATTGATCCCGAATTTCCTGAGAAACCGAAACACTGCTTTCCAGAGTGGTTGCACAAGTTTGCATTCCCACCAGCAATGGGTGAGTGTACCCCTTTCTCCACAACCTCTCCAGCAAAGGCTATCATTGGTGTTTTTTATTTTAGCCATTCTGACAGGTGTAAGATGGTATCTTAAAGTTGTCTTGATTTGCATTTCCCTGATCGCTAAGGAAGTTGAGCATGACCTTAAGTGTCTTTTGGCCATTTGAAGTTCTTCTGTTGAGAATTCTCTGTTCAGCTCAATGCCCCATTTTATAATTGGGTTGATTAGCCTTTTATGGTCTAGTTTCTTGATTTCTTTATATATTTTGGAGATCAGACCTTTGTCAGTTGCGGGGTTGGTGAAAATCTTCTCCCAGTAAGTGGGTTGCCTTTTTGTCTTAGTGACAGTGTCCTTTGCTTTACAGAAGCTTCTCAGCCTCAGGAGGTCCCATTTATTCAATGATGCCCTTAGTGTCTGTGCTGCTGGGGTTATATGTAGGAAGTGGTCTCCTGTGTCCATGTGCTGTAGAGTACTTCCCACTTTCTCTTCTATCAGGTTCAGTGTGTTCGGACTGATATTGAGGTCTTTAATCCATTTGGACTTGAGTTTTGTGCATGGTGATAGATATGGATCTATTTTCATTCTTCTACAGATTGACATCCAGTTTTGCCAGCACAATTTGTTGAAGATGCTCTCTTTTTTCCATTGTATACTTTTAGCTCCTTTATCGAAAATCAGGTGTTCATAGGTTTGTGGGTTAAAGTCAGGGTCTTCTATTCTATTCCATTGGTCGACTTCTCTGTTTTTATGCCAATACCAAGCTGTTTTCAATACTGTAGCTCTGTAATAGAGTTTGAAGTCAGGGATGGTAATGCCTCCAGACAATCCTTTATTGTATAAGATTATTATAAGACTCCAGGCATCCAGTGTCTGAGAAAACAGGAGCTCCACTAAGACACTACAATTTGTGCTGCTCATGTAAACAGACATCTTGAGGACAGAGTTGAGAGTTTGTTGTCTTGTATCTAGTGATGCATACATTGGGTGATGTAACATAAACTCTAGTTGGTCTCAATTATTTAAAAAAATAGAGATATTTGGTGATGAAAGCTGAAGGATCAGAGAAGCAGGGCAGTAAGTCACTAGAAAGTTCTCTTACCTCTACCAATGCTCATTGAAAGAAGAGATCCTGTCCTCAGACTGCCTGTGTCTTCACCAAACTTCAGATGGCCATTGGCTTCTGTGTACTCCCACCGTGTATCCCTCTCTCCACCTAGCCATATCTCTCCTGTTTCCACCTCCTTACTGCTCAGATTAAAGGCATTTGATCCCAAGTGCTGGAATTACCTTTGTGATATGGGATTCCCCTCTGTATGCTGTGAATACCATTGGTTAATAAAGAAACTGTCTTAGGCCTGGGCAGGGCAGAATATAGGTAAGCAGGGAAAACTAAAGTGAATGCTGGGAGAAAGAAGGCTGAGTCAGGGAGAAGTTATATATCCCCACTGGAGACAGATGCTAGAAATTTACCTGGTAAGTCATAGCCTCATGGTGATATACAGTTTAATAGGAATGGGTTAATTTAAGATATAAGTTAGTCAGACATATGCTTAAGTTATTGGCCAAACAGTATTTCAAATAATATAGTTTCTGTGTGATTATTTCGAGTCTGAGTGGCCAGAACGAACAAGCAACCTCCTACTACAAATTGGCACAAACGTGGACAACTAAAATCCACTGAAAACCTGAGTTTGGGAAGGAATTCTAGGCACAAAAACAAACAAGCAAACAAACAGAGTTTAACACAGCTTCTTGCTTTTTCACAACAGCATTACACAGCTCCTGACTCAGCGATAACTGAAAAAAATGTATGGTATCAAAACAGCGGCTTCCTTGGCCATGCTGCCAGCATGAACT